TCAAAATGTATAAACTGCCTGAACTTCAACATAAGCAAAAAAAAAATGGAATTAGAGGTAATCCTGTACACCAATGAATTGTCTGGGGTGACGGGTGAGCAGACCATTCTTTATGCTGATGACACAACTTTAATTTTTAGTAAAGAAAATCATGATATGATGTTGGCTGGTGTTCAAAGGGCCTGTGACGTACTGGAAGGGTATTTTTCGGCTCATGATCTCTGTCTTAATGTGCCTAAAGACCAGTGTATTTTATTTGGAAATAGAACGAATGCTGCTCTCTCTTTTTCTTATAAAAATATAGATATTAAGTCAGCAGAAAGCATCTCTTTTCATAGTGTTTGGATTGACAAGCGACTGGACTGGGGGGGCGCACGTTGAGGATGTTGCATTGGGTGTCTCTAGGTATTGCTATGCATTGAGAGTGATTAGGAATGATGTTGGTCTCCACGCTACCCTATCGGCATACCACGCGTTTGTTCAGTCGAGAATTAGATATGGTCTGATCTTCTGGGGCAGCTCGCGGGAGATAAACAGGGTTTTGATTCTTCAAACAAATCGAAAATTGCAAAGAAATCTTCATCAGTATAAAAAATTCTAACTGTTGTTTCTACTTACATATTGGACGCTTTTATGTTTGTTTTTAAAAACAGAGATCTGTTTGACGATGTTATAAATAAATATAATCACATGACTAGGCATAAGGAAGATCTTATCCCAGATACGTGTTTTACACAGAAAAATGCTCTATATACTGTTAAAAAAAATGTTCCAATAGTTTTCATTCAAATGTTCGTAATCTACCACAAATAAAAGTTAAAAAAATTATCGCTAATTGATCTCTAAAGCAGTTTATTCATTGAATGATTTTATTTGAGGATAAGGATAGACTTACTCTAGAGTTAACGGGGCTCCTACAATCACGAGCACCATCTGCTGAGGTAACGGGGGGGTGAAAAGGAAACGACGGTGTGTTGGCCCTAGACGGTTATCGGCGCTACTTTAAAAGAGGAAAGGATGACTGCGGGTGTATAGCAAGGTAAATTTTCATAATAACAGAGTCGGATTGTGATTATCGATCTAGCCTGTAAATCGTTTCCTATTTTGGTACTCAGCAAGTGATCATTTAGTATTTTTCTCCCCTTGTTACTGTTCGTCGATATTGTGTTGTTGAATTGTTGGTGTGATTTTTCTTGAGTGCCTTTTTTTTATCAAGGTTGATAATGGACAATAAAAGGGCATATGCGACCATTTTAATTACGAATGCAGTGAGTTTAAAGAAAATGAATAGTTTTATGGCGAATTCTGTCAAAGACCTGACATGAACGACATTGATTTGGAGGTTGCTAAGCAAGAATTTTCAGGGAAACTTAAAAAAAGTGACGACGAGATTTTGCAGATCGAACAACAAGTCACCAAATCACAGGACTGTCCTTTGTGGCGCCTTCATCGGAGGATAATAGGTTGACAGCGTCTCGATTTGGTGAAGTTTGTAGAAAAAGGCAGACAACAAGTTCTAGTAAACTCCATCATATACCCAACAGAGTTTTCTAGTAAGGCAATAAAAAAGGCAATACAAAAATCTTTGGACACGGCAGTTCAATCTTGTCGTTTGTTTATTGATCGCACAAATCCATTTCTGGCAGCATCGCCTCCATCTACCTATTACAGTAGACAAGAAATGTACTTAATCCAGGAATAAGCCTACCTGTTTATTGCTTTACAAAAACTAACTAACTGTTTCCGCTTATTTTGACGGCATAAGATAATTTTATGACGCTCGTGCAATTGTTACCATGTAACACATGACCCTTGTAAACATAATTATGTTTATTGACAAGAATAAAAGAATTTGAATTTGAGTTCTTGAATTTATCTTACTAAAGATATCAGATTATTTGAATACAGTTTTTCTTAGTCGGAGCGCACCGTCGCGTCGCTTGGACTGGCAGGACGAAACAGTAGACGAATTTCGCCCAAAAACCGATTTGCACTTCACAGCTTACGTTTCATTTTTTATTATTCCCAAATTAAACTCTTGCAGCGTGCTAAAAACAAAGTCCACAGGGTGCTAACGATCCACTTTTTCGATTTTTCCACTAGGATCTTTTTAAAATATCAAGAAGTTGAGCACAAATAGTAAGCATTTCAACCCACCATAATTCTTGCACAAACTCAAAATTTTGTAAAAAGCTCCGATAGCACCTTAGGCAATTATGTCCTGCTTATTTTCCTGCTTAGTTCCACGCTAAATTCTCCTATACTTGACTGGAGTGATATCCGAATTCATTCTTCCCTACTGTCGTCGGATTTTCGTTACTCAAATTTCCTGTAATCACTCTGACCAGAAGCTTCTTAATGATAGAACGTGTTTCACCGATATCAAAGATGCAACATTTAGAATCACCTTCCCCCAACCCCCACTTTTTAAGCAGTACATTTTTTTATGTCAATTAGAAAGAACCCCTTTAACGTCAAAAACGAAGTTTTCGCAATTGTTACTTTTTCTTTCTTTCCTATAGCACCCTTGCCATTGGACTTAAACTACAAAGCTTTGGCATACTAGTAACCCCGTGTGGAAATTTGTGATATAGTTTTTCGTGATGTACATGTCATATGACTTAAAAAAACATAGCATCTCATTTTAGAAATTTTTCGCGATTACAATACTTCCTCTCCACTGGCATGGGAAGTAAAACGGCTTTAAAATCGAGAGTATCAGCGATCGCGATTATGAATACCTATTTGCAGAACGACTTATCTATGCGATATTATATGAAATAGGGCCACCAAATTATCTGAATACGTCCTTTCTTAGTCCGTACATTGTGCCGCAATGCTTGGGTTGGCAGCACGAAACAGTAGACAAACTTCGTCCAAAATACGATTTGTAGAGGTTTGTGCGCTTCAAAATTGAAGCTTTATTTTTTGATATTTTTGAATCAAATTTTCATAGTGTGCTGAAAACAAAACCCCACAGGCTGCTATAGAGCCACTTTTTCATTTTTTTCACTAGATTCTTTTTAAAAAAATCGCGAAGTTGAACAGAAAAAGTGTGCACTTCAACCCATCATAAATCTTGTGCAAAAACAAAATTTCAAAAAGTCCTCCTATAGCACCCTGGGCAATTATCTTCTGAACATACTGTATGAATTTCAGTCAAAAATATTGAAAAAAGGAGTGTCGTTTCGAAGCAGCTGAACCCTTGCAAATGGCTTTAAACTCACTGCGTCGGAGCCGCCTTAATTTAGAATATTTTGTACTGCAGGGTATTATATGAATTGTTACTGCTATACATAATTTTATTGATAACTTCGACTATATGGAAAATTGCTGTAATTAAATACAAATATATTGTTCTTGTTTTTGATTGTGAAAGCACATGAGTTCTCAGTACTTTAGAAAAATCTTTGTACGAGTAATTGTATATTTCTTTTATAATAAATTTTACCAAGCTGGTATACATCTATTTAACAATTTTCTATGCCTCGGCTTATGATTAAATAAAAAATATCTATCTATCTATTTTTGGTTTAAGAAAATACGATTCAGTGTCACCAAAGCTTACTGATGTTGGCTGGCTGAACATGAAGCAACGCAGGCTGCTTCATAGCCTCGTACAATACCATAAGATTATTATACATAAGCTACCATCTTACTTACACAAAAGATAGATTTCCTTTACTTAGCTCACAACCGCAATACCAGCAACAAAACGAAACTGACACGTCCTTTTAATTCCAATAGCTTTTTCGTATAATATCAGTAAGATTTATAATAATATCCCGCGAGTGTATACTTCTCTTCCTATTGATATGTATTTCTATAGTACCATTTATCAAATTAGCCGTTAGTGTCCATTCCCTGATATTACTTATACATACATATTTTTTACCTCATTTACCTGTATGCTTATCTTTCACGTTCACCACAGTAGCAGCTTCCGCATAGATAGATAGATGTAGTTCTTCTAAGTCATCACAGTGTTCTAGGTGGCGTAAAAGAATTTCGTCCATCTGATCTATTATTTGATTGGATTTTGCATTTAGTAGAAGCTTTGGGAGCCTAGGCCTTTTTGTGGGGTCAGAACTGACAAACGTGTAGGGGCTACTTCATCGTTTATGGCATTTTGGGATATCGCTCTACCAACTTCACGTTTCAATTCATCCGTTTCGGTCTGGGTTAGATAACCGTTTTTCACAATAGTCCTTTTTCTATCAACGATATTTTGCTCAGTTAATCCAAGTGCCGGGTGAATCTTTGAAAACTCTGTGTGGAGCTTACGTCTCCAACCTGTTTGTGGTAGGTCTTTGCAGTCATTAACGAGATAAAATGCTTTCATTACAGAAATGTTTAGTTCTCTAGTCCATTTTATACGTTGACCGCTACGATTATTGGCCGCAGCATTCCGGGTGCCGGTGTGCAAACGGCCAATCTGTGTGACCTCGTCTGTTAATTCCACAGGATGTTCATCTTCATCGGTGGACCTATAATGTCGATCCCATGTATTTGGAGGATTTCGCATGATGACGACCTAGGTTACCTCCGAGGCTACAACCGGGGTTGCAACCTCACCCCTGCCGAGCGCGACACCACTTCCGCTGGGGCTTGTGGTCTCGTTAACGGTGTTACGTTCTTCCGAGGCTAAATTAAAGTTGTATCGCTTTTTTTTTAACTCTAAGAGTCGGAATGCACATTCAGCGCATAGATATCGCTCAGCGCCAGCGGAAGGGAAACAAAAACCAACTGATGCTCAAGAAGGATTGCTGGCTGTACCGTCTATCCTTGGTGTTATTGCGGTAGCGGGTCTGACACTGCTGGTAGCAGTTCCCTTACCGGCCAGACATTTTTATTATTATTATTATTATTATTATTATTATTATCAACAGCAGAGCGCTTCAAGGCCACGTATCAAGGCTATGGAGTCTGATCAAAGGATCGACACAGTGCTTTAGGAATTATTCTTCAGTCCGGTCCACTAGAACACATATCGTAGAATGCGATTCGGTAACGAAGCGGGCCACCTGTGAAAAGTAACATGGATCCCTATCGCCAGACCCTGAGCTAGATGAATATCTTCATTATGCTTTTTGGTGCGAAGGAGTGTGGTCGCCTCTTGTTTACCTTTTTTGCGTGTTCACAATGTCGTCAAATAGGAAACGTGTGTTTATAATTAAAGAAAAGTTGAAGAAATTAGAGGAAATGCTACAGGACGTCTCTACAAGTAAGTACGATGTTTATTATTCTTTTGTGTGTCAGAGAAACGTGGTTATGGTGAAAATGGCCTTAGGTGTCATCTATATCGACATGATGAATTTGTTTTTAGATGATTTGTAGGCGAAATTTAGCATTCTACTACTTAAAGGCTAATTTCTCGTAGAAAAAGGCCTTACTCGCCATTTGATTCATCATGGTACAAATATTTTATTATCTAACATGGCTTTACTCGCCACACGTATGTACAGGGTGCGGTAGAGAGGATGGACTGTTTTAAAAAAATCATAAAATAGTTAATTTTTACTCGAAAACAAATTTATTGATGGAATCAGGTTCACAAGGAAATAGCATTTGAGTCAGTCAAGTGTGGAAAATCACATCAGGCATGTGGTGGCCGAAATCGTTGATGCAGTGCTGGAGGCGTTCGTGGAAGTTCGCGTAGACTCTCTCCAACATCGCTCTCTCAACTTGGGCGACTTCCACGCGAATTTCGCCCTTCAATTCGTGCAGAGTTCGGGGCTTGTTCGCGTATACTCTAGCCTTGAGGTGTCCCCATAAAAAAAATCGCATATGGATAAATCTGGGGACCGAGGAGGCCAATGAACATCGCCAAACCTGGAAATAAGGCGACCAGGGATGAGAGGGCGAACAACGTCCATGGATGTTCGGGCTGTGTGGGCGGTCGCCCCATCCTGCTGGAACCACACACGTCGGATTGGAACACGTCACCGTCGAAATTCAGGGAGAAAGAAGTTGGTGATCATGTCGAGTTTAGGGTAACATCACGACCATTACCGTCTTCGGCTTCGGAAGTAAGGGCCAATGATGCAAGTTTGCGATACAGCGCACCAAACCGTTACTTTTGGACTGTGCAGCGGTCTTTCCTGTAACTGTTGCGGATTTTCATTAGCCCAATAACGACACTTCTGCTGGTTAACCATGCTGTTTAGGTGAAAGTGGGCTTCGTCACTCATAAACAAAATGAGATTCTCATTTTGATCGATCAGTGCTTCCAGCTCACGTGCGAGGCTCATTCGTTGTGCATAATCTCCGGGCTGTAACTGTTGCACAATGGCCAATTTGTAGGGGTGAAAGCGGGATCTCCGCATATGCAAAATTCACCTTACCGAACGATCACTAAGGCGAAGTGCAGCAGCATGTTTTCGGGCAGATCGAGTCGGACTGCGAAGAAAGACCAGTCGAACGCGTTCAACATTTTCAGGAGTTTGAACTGTTCGCGGCGCTCCTCTTGGTCTTCTGTTGATCAGTTCACCACGCCTGCGAAGTGATTCAACCCAACGAAGGATGGAGTTTCGAGAGGGAACAGCTCTATTCCAATGAATGTTGAAGTGGCGACGAAACTCACGCTGTACGACGAGGACTGACTCATTATTTCGGACGAAACAAGCGTAGGCGAAAACGCGGTGCTCCACCGTCCAAGGCTCCATAACGACAACTGGTAAAATAATGCTAGGATCTCACGAGTCAAACGACACCCTCCCCACCTCTCTCGTAGACGGAGGCGGAGAGTACTACCCATCCCAAAAACATCCGTCCTCTCTGCCGCAATTATGTATAACTAAAAAACAGCCTTGCTCGCCGTTTTTTGTAAGTTACTGCTTTTAGTAAATATCAAACATACCATTATGAGTCGAGGTGATTTGCTGTCTTTGCAAAATTACTAAGCAGAGTTTGAATAGCCCTTCTCGCTATTTAGACATATTGAATTAAAAATGAAAAACTGGCATTCTTGTTTCTTAGGTGTGAGTGACCAGGATAGACCATAGAAAGAGAATTCGCATAAGTGTTTCCTCATCAGATTCGGATCACAGCGATGTTAACCAGGGTAATATGGTAGAGGTCGATGTTCACAGAGAAGCAGAACTTTCTCCAATACCCTCTGATAAAATAGATAGTATAAATAAAATCCTGGGAACTGATCCATCCATGCCTAAGGTTATGGGCAAGCCAGTTAGTGATCAGGTGGCCTCTAGACTAAATTATTACGCAACAAATGGGATGTCTAGCGATGAAAAAGAAAAAATAAGACTCGAGTGGCCAACACCTGAAAACTGCAGCTCTTTCAACTCACCTACCTTAAATCCAGAGATTTTAGCACTTCGTTCGCCTACCGATCAGAAAAAAGATTCCTTTATGTGTCATATTCCAAATGACATAGCTGGAAGTTTAAGTGCTTTACCATCAGTGCTAAGCAAACTGTTAGATATAGCATACCTCCCTAATGTTGTGTTGTAAAAGAAATAATACCTGACCTAATGACAGCAGGAAAACTTCAGTGCAACGCCCATTTTCAGATATCAATGCGTCGTAGACATCAGGTCTATCCTCTTTTAAAACCTGACATGCAAAAACTAGTAAAAGAATCTAAACTGTATAAATTTCTCTTTGGAAAAACATTCATGGAGAAATGTAAAATTAATCAAACTGTAAATAAATCTGCAGTAGAGCTGCAGGTGAGTAAAGTTCCTGTAAGCAACCAAATCTTTAATAGGAGCCATTTAAACTGGCAGCGCCCCAAAACATCCGTACGTTTTCGGAAGAGTCAGTTTGTACTAAACAAGAGAAAGGAGCCTCGAATACAAAAGAGAAATAGAAATCGATGGAGATCATCGAGAGGGAACCCAGCCAGATACAATTACCGAAACCGACAAATTCAGTAGAGGTAAATGTCAACAATATTGCTTTATTTGCCGGTAGACCAAAAATATTGGAAATCTATAACAAATGACAGATTTATTCTGAGCTGTATAACTGGCTACCTTTTACCATTTTTTCATACTCCAAAACAGTTAGTCCTGCCAAAAACCAAAAGTTACAGTAAAATAGAATTTAAGAACCTTAAAGAAACAATCAACAAACTAGAAGCAATAGGCGCAATCAGTAAATGCCAACCGTGTAAAAATCAATTTCTATCTTCATATTTTTTAGTACAGAAACCAGACGGAAATCAGAGATTTGTTATAAATCTAAAACAATTAACCAAATATGTAACAATCTAACACTTTAAAATGGAAAATTATAAAATTGTTAAAAATATAATTACCAACAGAGTATATATGTCCTCTCTAGACTTAAATGACGCCTATTTCTGTATACCGATTTACAAAAAAACATAGGAAATATTTAAGATTTACGTTTAACAAGGTTTTGTACGAATTCTCTTGCTTACCGTTCGGCCTCTGCTCTGCCCCTTATATTTTTACCAAACTATTAAAACCAGTTATTTCATTCTTACGAAACAAAGGTTTTTATTCAGTTAATTATTTAGACGATTTTTTATTGTTAGGGCATAGTATAGATCAGTGTTGGACGAATATAACCGTAACCACTTCACTCTTAGAATCCTTGGGTTTTGTTGTAAATTACAAAAAGAGACAATTAATACCCCGTAATATTTGCAAATTCTTAGGTTTTCTTTATGATGGCATAAACATGTGCATGACACTGCCAGCTAGCTAAAGACATGATATCTTATTGAAAATTGACACATTTGTAAGTTTAACAGTTGTAAAATAAGAGAGTTTGCAAGACTTTTAGGATACCTTATCTCGATTTGTCCTGCTATAAAATACGGTCTTATGCTCACAAAATGCTTAGAAAGATATAAATATCTAGCCTTGAAAAGTTCGAATAACAATTATAACTCCAAAATAATAATAACACTCAAAATAAAAAAGAATTAAATTGGTGGATGACAGCAATTCCAAATCAATAGCTGTTGATGCTTTTACGATAAGTTGGTCAAATATATTTTTCTATGCATTCCCTCCTTTTTCTTTGATAATGAGAATGTTGAATAAAATTATCAAACATGGGGGGAGGGGATAATGGTGGTCCCTTTGTGGATGGCACAACCTTGGTACCCAATTTTCAATAAGATTCTCAAGTCAAAATTGGTTTATTTAACTCCTAATAGAAATCTTTTATTATCTCCAAATAGGGAACCACATCCGCTTTGGCCAAAGCTTACCCTGGTGTCAGGAATTTTATCAGGGATGCTCTTGCTCCAAGAAGACTCACGGAATCAGCTTTAGAAGTAGTTATCTCTTCATTAAATCCTAATACACTGAAACAATACAATACCGCCTATAAAAAATGGTGGGAATTTTGCATCCGTAGAGCAGTAGACTGCTTTAATCCCTCAACAGCAGATTTCGTTGATTTTCTAGATGATAGTTTCAAGGAGGGTGCTAGTTATACAACACTGAATACGTTTAGGTCATCTCTTAATTTAATTATAAATAAGGAAGTTGATGAGAAAGTTATTAGTAGGTACTTGAAAGGTGTATTTAAGATCAAACCTGTGTTATGCTGTTCGCCTTAGGCACAGCACAAAGGTTACAAACTTTTTCAAAAATTAAAATAGATAATATTTATCAAAGAACTGACTCCATAGAGATTTTAATACCGGATATCTTAAAAACATCAGGCGCCCGTAGGATCCAACCTAGACTGAGACTCCCCTTCTTTAGAGAGACCCCAGAGCTATGTCTATCTAGCACATTGATAGAATATTTAAGTAGAAGTCAGAACATAAGAAATAATATACGGGAGTTATTTTTGACCATTAAAAAACCGTACCATCCAGCCTGGACTCAAACTCTTTCCAGGTGGTTAAAGAAAATTCTAGGCCTGGCTGGAATAAATACTGGTACATTCTCTGGGTACAGTACTAGGCATGCAGCTGTTTCTGCAGCCTACAGATCAGGTACTAACATTGAAACTATAAGAGCCACAGTAGGATGGTCAGAACGGTCGAACGTGTTTTTTAAGTTTTATAACAGGCCGTTAGATAGCAGTTTTTTCATAAATAGCGTACTAGCTGGTACGGAAAACAAACAACTCAGGTCATGCAGGGATTAATTACATTACTACCTACTAAAATATTGTGTTAGACTCTAGTTACGTTTATTGGTCTATAACATATAGAATAAGGACGTTTCTATATCGTATGTTTTATTTCTTGTTACGTTGTTGTTATTGTATATAAACTAATCGTTAGTTGTTCTGCCTTAATTAATATATAGAAAAAAAAGTTAAGGAAATATATGGAAAAATGTTTGTTCTCACATTTTGTATTAAAATACTTTAATTCATTCCATATCTAATAATTTTATTATTCCTTAATTCCTCTTTATGTTATTACATAATGACATTTGCTAGCTCATTTAATACTTTAAACATCTACGATATGTGTTCTAGTGGACCGGACTGAAGAATAATTTGAGATTATACGACTTACCTAGTAAGGAAGTTCAATCGGAAGTATCCGGTCCACTAAAACACATCCCACCCCATCCTAGACGCGTAGTACCACATACCCAAAAAATAAAATGACTAGCAAATAAAAAGCATAATGAGATATTCGTATAGCTCAGGGTCTGGGGATGGGATCCATGTTACTTTTCACAGGTGGCCCGCTTCGTTACCGAATCACATTCTACGATATGTGTTCTAGTGGACCGGACTTAGAATAATTCCGATTGAACTTCCTTACTAGGTAAGTCGTTTAATCTCAAATCATATAGAGGATCACAATAGATCCACTTGGGTAGCAGTGACGTTAAGGCTGGCAAGCCAACCCCTTTCTTCTATAATCTGTACGCTTTTTAACTTGACCCGTTCGAAAAATAAGTAGGGGAGGTTCTTTAGAAAAGCAATGTGTGAGCCCAACCTACAGTATATTCAGATAAGAGATAGACCGGACATAAACAAGACCACGTGATCATCGAACGCTGTAACATTCGGCAGGGACGTATTAAGAGTCACGCAGTACATATTTTAGATAGTAGATGCTGCTTTGCGTAGTAAATTAACACAATTCGATGTGTATACGATTGGTGATGGATATAGGATCATGTGGGGGTGGGGTAAGAAATATATAATGATGTAAATATACATAAGTGTTTCAAAATTTTCGCTTCGATTTCCAGCTTCGGATGCCGCCTGATGTTTGGTGAAATACAGTCGAATATAATCTCAAAATGGCGTTTAAATTAGCCTAAATTAAAAATAATCGTATATCTCTTAAAATTGCTTTTAGAATATTGATTAGTATATTTTTTGATTTCTAGGTAAATATGTAACCAAATAAAAACGTTCAAAACGTAAAAAAATGTGCATGGTTGAACATTGTCAGAAAGTAGATTCTTGAATAGGTTTTGCCAAAATGGGTTCAAAAATGTCAATAATTAATTAAAAAATACAGTAGCTTTATAATTACTTATAACTTACCGAATTTGATGAATGACATCTTTTATTGGAAAGATGAGCTTGATGAGCTTTCATCATCGCTACTGCCTGAAGCACCAACGTTTATTAATGAATGGCTCGACTTGTTCCTCTAAAATATTGTCCAGTTCCCACATTCTCTTTTCAACTTTGTCTTTCACGTGCTTAATACAGTTTTCCCATTTTCGCGCTGTTATTAATTTTAGTGCTTCTTTGAAAAGTCCTTTGAGGTCACAAAATTTAAAAGTTGTATTGTGCTTAGCTATATAATTTTTAACCTCTGCCCATATGAGCTCAATGGGATTGAGCTCGCAATGGTATGGAGGTAAACGGAGCACAGTTTTATTTTCACTTGCTGCCATTTCGTCAATGGCGTATTTTTGATATTCCGCCTTGTGATCCTTGACAATTCTTAATAATTGTACTTTCAGCATTGCTTCTTCAAAGTTGATATTTTTCGAGCGGAGCCAATTTTGAACATCAACTTTCCTTGAAGCTGTTGTTGGGACCTTCTCCATTCTTCGAGAATGATAAGGCATTATCCAACACAATTACTGCGTTTTCCTCTAAGTTCGGTAAAATTTTTGAAAACCACTGTTCAAACGATTCGCCATTCATTTCCTCGAGGGAAATCTCCAGTTTTCTTAGACTTAAAGCACCACAGACCGTCAACAACAAATCCATCCTCACTGCCAATATGGCAGATAATGAGCCTTTTCCCTTTACCTGGAAATCGAAGTACTAACTGGTGTAGATTTATTTCAATAAGCGAACCTTTTTCAAATGTTTTCATCACATTCAGCGAAAAAACATTGAGACATGAGTATCAGATTGCTATAATTGGGATTATTTAGTCATATTGAAAGAAAGAATATTGAACATCGTATGATTACTCAGCGCTTCACAATTTAATTTAAAGTTATAAACCTTTAAAAAATGAATGATCAGGAACCTGAAATACGCGCAAATATTAATATTAACAAATTATAACTTTATAAAGCTTAAAGTATGAATTAAAATGATTAGAAATATTAGGAACGGTACACAATATAAAACTTAGTAACTTTTTTTAAGTTTATAATATTCGACATATTTTAAGATTATATTAAAAAATTATTGAAATATCGAAAACACATAAAAACATGGCTTAAAAAAGTTCTAACAAATGAAAATGACAATAAAACATCCACGCATTTTATCGAAAGTTATAAAAGTTTTGTTACTTGTAATATGTTTTATCTGCCCCCTGGAATTAATGTTTAGAACCTTGTTCCCAAGGTTTGAAAAACATCCGATTGTTGTCTATTACTCGTATTTACCTGCTGGATTTTTTAATCCGGTGGACAGTCCATCTAGAAAGGCCCTCCTGGATAAAGTTACAGAATCATCAACCCATACTTTACTTGTAGTGTGTCCTGCGTTTACCCACGTTTCATCAAGGTAATAAATCTTCCTGTTTTGATTTCTATATTTCCCAATTTTTGTTAAATAATCCCTCCTCCATAGCACAATTTCTTCTCTATTCAGTAGTAAACTATTACGATCCCGTTTTTTCCATTTGAAATTTAAATGCTTCAGTAACGCATGGAAAGTTGATCGTTTGAAATTTGGCAACGTTGTATCTCCATTTACCTCCTGCAGTACTTTATCTATAGTAGGTATTTCATTCCTAAAGAAGAATTCATGCACTTTCCTCCTAATCGCATGCTTATCAGCTTCATCCAATGATTTAACAATACTTTTGCGATGTTTACTGGTCATTGGCTCAGAAAAGGTGTGATTTTTTTTGTATTGTCTTAACACATTAAACACTGATGCGCGACACAACCCAACTTTGTGAGAAACCTTCACAACAATTTCTTTGATGGTTGATGCCTCGTTCTCCTCGCGCTCGATCTTATATATATTCAAAATGACCTCTTTCATTTCTGCACTCAGGTGTCTTTTTTTAGTGCGTTTCCTAGGTGGACTACAGGAGTTTAAACTTCATCGGCAGTATATGTACTACTGGGCATTTTGCGCAAGCAGTTGATAACAATAACAATCAATAACAAGGTATAACAATTACAACGACAAACTCAACAACTTAATAAGATAACAAACGAAAACGTCCAAAGAAATATCAAATTGCAATGATGCACGCGACATACGTAACACGTCTGAACCTGAATGTGACTCTGCCTTGATACGACTGCTCTGCCGCTCGGCATAGGCATTTAATTGCGAATTGACCAATGAGGGCTCCTGTTTTACGTCGAGACGGCGGCGTTAGCGTGAAAATCACCCGAACCTTTTGTTTACATCCGGTCTATCTCTTATCTGAATATACTGTAATAAATAGAAACATTGAACGCATACTTGATTAACAATTAAAAAACGAAGGTTTGTCATAACAGTACCTCCTAAAATGCTTTGAGGTTTTGTTAAAGGATGTTCGAAGAATATTCAGGAACTTTAGATACAAAAAAATTTTCGTTTTTCCATATTACTTTTTGGGGTCGAAAATAGTATATTTTGCACTTTTTCATATATTTAATCTCTAATGAGAACCCTTTTTGTTCAGATCGACCCAAAAATCTAACAAATTGTGTAACTAGCAATTTGCTTAAAAAATTGTTTAAACAATGTTTGCGCAATTTTGGCATAATGCAGATTCGTTAAAAGAAGTCCTATACTCATGTATTCATATACTCGTAAGATTAAGCAAAAACCTGAATCAAAATATTTGTCTTTTCTTATTATATATTTATAATAAACTCCATCGTTTGAGCTACAAATGTTTTTGACAACCATCAAAGGCTTGGTGATACAACAGTTATAAAGTGTCACATGTTATACGATTCATAACAAGCAAACTTAAGGATATTGCCTTATTCTAAACCCTAGTGCGATTCCACAATTTACAAATATCCACCGTGCAGGTAACAGGTATTCATTAGTTATCCCGATTTATATGGTAGGTATTTCAAAACCTGGCGTAAATTATGAAATGGGTGCTCCCCAGTATTCCCGATACCCGTTATAATATATGGCGAAGTTAAGAGCGGGAGTTAAACTCACCTTAAACACCCTAATTAATGATTGCAGGGCTGCAACTTGTACCGTCGCCGCATGCCTCTCTCTCTTTCTCTCTTCCTCTCTCTCTCTCTCTCGCTCGCTGAAGATTATATCTGGAAACAGGAGTAACGAATTAGTATTTCAGCAGATGCAGAAACATAAATTCCAGAAAATTTGTGAAAAGATGTTACAAATTCTGAAAGAAGGGTAGCAGCAATGCTGATTTAATTATCATTATCGGAATTGAAAGTTACTCCAAGCAGGACGATCTCTAATCCACGAATGAGAATTGTCATTAACCAAGGAATCAACATGTAGACTCTAATATTTTGAGATATACAGTTTTTCAATAAGGACATAATTTCGTAAGTCAATAAAACGCAAAGTATTTGAGACATCGGGTTCAAATTTATTACAGGTGTAGTAGAGATATTACATTTAACAAAGGAATTGGACTTCAGCCCTATGTCCACAACGAGCCCGTTTACAGCGGTCGATTCTGTGGACTCAATTTTCCACCACATATTGACCGGAATGTTGCGAATTTCGCGTTTAATGTTGTCGCGTAGCTCATC